ACCTACCTACCTACCTACCTACCTACCTACCTACCTACCTACCTACCTACCTACCTACCTACCTACCTACCTACCTACCTACCTACCTACCCTAAACTAGTTCAGACCGGTCAGAGACGTCTACAACAACTTGATAACCTTCTGACCATGTTCAGAACTCAAGCGACAGGACTGCTCAGCTTATAATGTAGTTCAGAAACCACCAAAAAACCTTCACCAAACAATCAGGAGCCTCCAGCACTACTGCTGTAGTTGTATTTTTGTTCTGATGGTTAAATTCAGTTCAATAGTCTCTCTGCTTTGACAGCTTGTTAAATAGTGCGTTTGGTGACTGCAGCTGTTAGAATCATGCAGTGATGAGCGCTGCCACATCTGGCTCTGAGTCACAGGAGTTGTGTTACGAGACTTCGCCTGAGCGTGTGGGCCGCATCTTGTGTTTTGATGCATGTGTGAATGAGGAAAAATGAAGATGATGAGGGTTGTTGTTGTTATGTAATTTTGCGAGTCATTCTGTGTTGTCGTCAGTGGTGAGCGCTCAGGGACTCCAGGCCAAAGACAGGACGGGCTCCAGCGATCCGTATGTCACCATCCAGGTGGGGAAGACCAAGAAGAGAACAAAGACCATCTACGGCAACCTGAACCCAGTCTGGGAGGAAAAGTTCAGCTTGTAAGTTCAGCGGTTTTCCTACAACATGAAAAAAAAAATCACATCATCTGCTTTAAAATCACTCACACACAAACCCACACAGGTGGATTCACTTGGCTCAGCTTTGCCCTTGAAGGTGGGCGATAACTCTGCACCGGATAGTCTTTTTTTCAAAGGGAACCTCAATTGGTTGTAACATTAGACTATATCTAATAAATATTTACCGTACTTCAACTATAAAAACAAAGCTGTAAAAACTGTAGGTTGTTTACTTTTTAAAATATAGATTGTCACACAGACAGGAACCATAAATTTGGAAATATAGCATTAGCTCACAGGCTAATACACATACTGTATATGTGGGAATATAGCATTAGCTCACAGACAATACACATATATATGGGAATATACCATTAGCTCACAGACTAATACACATATATATGGGAATATACCATTAGCTCACAGACTAATACACATATATATGGGAATATACCATTAGCTCACAGGCTAATTATACACATATATATGGGAATATAGCATTAGCTCATGGGCTATACATATATATGGGAATATAGCATTAGCTCATGGGCTAATGCACATAAATGGGAATATAGCATTAGCTCACAGGCTAATAATATACATATATATGGGAATATAACATTAGCTCATGGGCTAATGCACATATATGGGAATATAGCATTAGCTCACAGGCTAATAATATACACATATATGGGAATATAGCATGAGCTCATGGGCTAATATACATATCTATGGGAATATAGCATTAGCTCACAGGCTAACACATGTAAATATAAACAAATGGGAATATAGCATTAGCTCACAGGCTAATAATATACATGTATATGGGAATATAGCATTAGCTCACAGGCTAATACACATATATGGGAATATAGCATTAGCAGTGTCCGATTATGTGTATAGATACCCTTATATCGTAATCGAGTGTCCGATTGTGTACATGTATATTTGTATACCCTTATATCGTAATCGAGTGTCCGATTATGTTGTATACATAAATATATGGGAATATAACATTAGTTCCTGGGATAATACATAACTCAACATTTATTTATTGCATTATATTAGCTCAAGTTTTTAGAAAAGATATAGTGACAAGAATCTGTGCGTACTGAGCAGTTCCAACAGAAAGATATTTTTAAAACAATTTAGAAAAGGTGAGTTTTTCCTCTCAGCATCTCTGCTTTCTGTTCTCACAGCGAGTGTCACAATTCGTCAGACCGGATCAAGCTCCGGGTTTGGGACGAGGACGACGACATCAAGTCGCGAGTGAAACAGCGTCTGAAGAGGGAGTCCGACGACTTCCTGGGTCAGAGCATCATCGAGGTCCGAACGCTGAGCGGAGAGATGGACGTCTGGTACAACCTGGGTACGAGGACATTCTGAGTCCTGACGATAAAGGAAATCTGATTTATTTGTGTTTGTGATGCTAAATGTAACGAGCTAAAACTTATGATGCTAAATGTAACAGCTAAAACTTATGATGCTAAATGTAACAGCTAAAACTTATGATGCTAAATGTAACGAGCTAAAACTTATGATGCTAAATGTAACGAGCTAAAACTTATGATGCTAAATGTAACGAGCTGAAACTCACGAAATGTCTTTCATGCCAGAAGTTTAGACC